TATGTAGGATAAATAAAAGTGAATCTGCAGTTTGGGGGACACACTTCTGTCCTCCTGTGTCTTGAAAACAGATTGTGGACATTTGTATTGCAGTTTCAGTCTCAGTTTGAGAATTGTTACAGTCAGTGTCCAACAGTGTCCATTAGTGTCCTTACTATTCTGATTAGTATTTTATTCATCTTTTTGACATTTGACCAACCAATCGGGAGAAAGGGGTTTTCCACAACAACAGTCTCTGGTAATTCAGGGACTTTCGCTTCAAACCTCACCCAGTACATCTTTTATTTGGAAAATGAATGAAACGGAAGTTTCAAATATTTCCGTTTCCGCTTTCCGCTACCACAGAGTTGACAGCCAGTGCTGTGAATGGGGTCGTGAGAATCGTCAAATACACACGATCAGAGAAAAGCAATGGAGGACAAGGCTCAGATACAAGAAGCGATTAAAAGCCAAGGTGAAGTGGTCCGGAAGCTGAAGACGGAGAAGGCGAGCAAAGAGCAGGTCGGTACTCAGGGTGGATGCTGATGCAAGTTCTGAGCATGCGGTGTACAGCGTGTCCATTTGGGATCTAACGCAGGGACTAGCTAGCTACCAGCCCCGGTACATGTCGCTTCATTCACAGCGCGGAGCTAAGCTAACTAGCTAAAGCCCCCACCAAACGCCGGGGCTCTGCACCAAAGTGTCTGCGTGTCTAAATATTGCGCCCTCTCTTCCGGTCCCGTGTGGTTTTCTTGGTAGATTTGTGTCCAGTGATAAGTGAATCAGCAGTTCATGTCTCTGAGTGTGAGCCATGCTGTAGGTCCTTGTCTCTATCAGAGTCCTGCTGTCACATCAACCTATGAACTGTTCATGTAGCAGCAGCTGCTGACTCTGTTTCTACACTCCTCATCAGTCTTTAGAAAGGAGAGGCTAACTGGCTTCTTTTTGTTCAGTCCAGAAAACCTGAGGGAGTTAGATGACCTCCAAAGTTACTTAGAATAAACTCTGTTTGACTTTCAAAATGTTTAGAATCGACTTCCTGA